TGGTGAGGTTGAGGTGACCTTGGGGGCCTTGGGGGGGTCTTGGTGACCATGGGGTGGCCACGGGGGCTGGGGGTGCTGGTCTGGGGGAGTCTGGGGGGTCTGGGGTGGTCTTTGGGGTCTCTGGGTGTCTGGGGGTGCTCTGGGGGGGATCCATGGATGGTACAGGGGGTCCCTGGTGTCTCTGGGGGGTCCCTGGGGTCTCTGGGGGGTCTCTGGGGGTCCCGTTGTGACCCCCCGTGCCCCCCAGGCCTGCGAGCTGCACGTGGCCGGGTTCCGCTTCGCGGTGCTGGACGGGGCCTTCGTCACCCACCGGGGCTGGAAGGAGCCGGGCGGGTTCCACCGGGGCCGCGAGGCCGAGCTGGGCCGGAACCGGCGCCGCTACCGGGAATTCAGGGAGGGGCTGAGACTGAGGTACCCGGGGACTGCCCGGCACTGCTGAGACACACCTGGGACACGCCTGGGACACACCTGGGACACGCCTGGGACACGCCTGGGACACACCTGGGACACACCTGGGACACGCCTGGGACACGCCTGGGACACGCCTGGGACACACCTGGGACACACCTGGGACACACCTGGGACAGCTGAGACAGCTGGGACACACCTGGGACAGAGCTGGGAGAGCTGGGAACCCCTCAGTGGACACCTGAGACATCGTGGAACGTCCCAGCGGGCACCTGGGGGCACCTGAGGACCCTGCAGCGGACGTTTGGGGACACCTGGCACAGCTGGGACACCTGAAGACCCCCCAATGGACGTTTGGGGACACCTGGGGACCCTCCCTGGACACCTGGATGCCCCCTGGATGTGGGCGTGACCGTCCCTCAGTAAATTTGGCCACCTACCCATGATGCCTCTGTGCGAGTGACGTCATGGGGGCGGGGCGAGCAGCTGCCTCCAGTACGGACCAGTAGCGCCCAGTACGGACCAGTAGCGCCCAGTACGGACCAGTAAGGCCCAGGGCAGGAGGCGGAGACCCCGCCCAGGTTGTTTACCATAGCGAACTACAGCTCCCAGCATGCATCGGGCACCAAGATGGCCGAACTTCCGCTCCTACGAGGCCTTAGAAACAACATGGCCGCCAAGCAGCTTCCGGTTTTGCCTTTGAATTTGAACTACAGTTCCCATCATGCACCAGACGCACGTGGCCGGAAGTGGTGGACATTCATGGGACTACAGCACCCATCGTGCACCAGGGCAAACATGGCCGACTTCCGGTCTCGCCTCTCACTCAACAGGGCGGGAAGGCGCAGCAGCGCCCCCTGGTGGGCGGGAGGACCAAATTGGTTTTTGGTTTTTGTTTTTTTTTTTTTTTTTAATTCGAGACGGGGGGAGGGGACAGGACCCCCATTTCTGGGGGGGTTTGTGACCCCCAAATCCAGCGGGAGGATCCAATTTGAGGGAAAAACCCCAAATGGGGAGCCGGAAAAATGACCCAGAAGGCTCCAAAGTCGCGGTTAATAAAGGATTTTATTTGCATTTTCCACCCTGGTTTTTCTCCCGTTAATTCGCGTTAAAGTGCTGCAAAGGGAAAAGGTTTCTTCCGTTTCCTGGGGATTTTTTTTTTTATTATTTTTTAAAAATTTAATTTATTTCAACTTCCCCAAAATCCTCACCAACAAAACTTTATCCCGGACGCCCGACGCACCTTTGAAACTTTGGGGCTAAACGAGAGGGAAACGGGGGCTTTTATCAAATTATGATACAAAGGATGTAACAAAACCCACAAAAAACAGATAAAAAAAGGAAAATAAAATTTAAAAAGTTCAAACTGAGGGGGAAAGGCCTCGGGACGGCTCCGGGCTGGCTCCGTGCCCCGGAGTCATTCGAGCTCCGGGTCTTGTGCTCGGATTGAATTTCCCAGCTCAGGGGACGCTGCTCCGTCCAGAGGTCACGGTTGTGTTCTTTGGTTTGTCTTCAGTCATAAATCCACGGATTTCAGTTTATTTTGTTAATAAACCCACGGCTTTGGTTTACTTCTGTTAGTAAATCCATGGTCTTGGTTTGGTTTAGTAATAAATCCATGGGTTTGGTTAATTTTATGAATAAATCCTTTTTTTTTGTTTATTCTGCTGAATAAATTCATATTTTTTGGTTTATTCTGCTCAACAAATCCACATTTTTTGTTTATTTCTTTCACTAAATCCATTTATTTTTAATTGTCTCCCTTTTCTTTGGTTTATTTTCTCAACAGACCAAATTTTGTCTCTGTTAATTCTTTTAATTTATTTTTATATTAATTTCTTCAATAAATTTTTTTAATGAATCCACATTTTTACTTTGGTTTGTTTTTGCTAATTCCACTTTATTTGTTTTCATTTTTTAGTAAATGCATATTTTTGTTTTGGTTTTTAATATATCCACAGCTTTGGTTAGGTTTTTTTTTTATAAATCCACAGTTTTGGTTGTTTTTTTATATAAAAAATCTATGTATTTTTAATAAAAAAAAATTTACAGTTTTGGTTTCATTTCTTTTACAAACCAAAAAAACCCCAAAATTTTGAATAAATCCATTGACCCAGCAGAGCCTGAAGCCCCACAGGGAAAAAAAAAAAAATTAAAAATGAGGGGAAAAAAAAACCAAAAAGACAAAAAAAAAATTTCCACGAACCAAACACTGAAAATATTTCAGGGGGGGAAGGAGGGGAAAAAAAACAGGGGACACAAAATAAACCCCAATAAAAATATCAAAAAAAAAAAGATAAATTGGGAGAGAAGAAGTTAAAGCTCTCAGCACGGGGGGGACCCCAGAATTGGGGGGGAGGACCCCAAAACTGGGGGGAGGGACCCCCAACCCCTCCCATTAGGGAAAAAAAAAAAAAAAACAACAAAAAGACAAAAAAAAAATCCACGAACCAAACACTGAAAATATTTGGGGGGGGGAAGGAGGGGAAAAAAAACAGGGGACACAAAATAAACCCCAATAAAAATATCAAAAAAAAAAGATAAATTGGGAGAGAAGAAGTTAAAGCTCTCAGCACGGGGGGGACCCCAAAATTGGGGGGGAGGACCCCAAAACTGGGGGGAGGGACCCCCAACCCCTCCCCCACTCTGTACACGCGGGGGTCCCTCGGTCCAGGCCTATGTACAGCCCCCCTGGCGGTCACTCTGTGGCCACCCTGGCGGTCATTCTGACCACCCTGGCGGTCACTCTGTGGCCACCATGGCGGTCACTCTGGCCACCCTGGCGGTCACTCTGACCACCCTGGCGGTCACTCCTTGCGCTTGGCCACGGCCAGCTCCAGGCCGGGCAGGCGGATGGCGGCGCGGGCGACGCCCTCGGAGGAGGACGAGGAGGACAGGCGGGACTTGGGGGACCCCGGCGCCTGCCCCCCGTCCTCGGGGCCGGCCGTCACCTCGTAGCAGCCCTTGGCCTTGGAGCCGATGCCCCCGAAGGTCCCGAACTTGCCCTTGGGCTGCCGGGCGCCGTCGGGCTCGGCCGCGTGCTCGTCGCTGAAGGACGACGAGCGCGCCCGCGGCTTCTTGCTGCGGAACAGCGAGAACTTGGCCTTGGCCGCCGGCGCCTCGGCCTCCGGCTCGCCCTCGGCCGGGCCCAGGCTCGCCTTGGAGCTCTTGAGGTCGCCCTTGGAGCCGGACACGGAGCCGGACGCCGCCTCGGGGGAGCCCGGGGCGCCGGCCCGGCCTTTCTGCTTGGAGAAGTTGAACTTGGGCATCTTGAGCTTGGATTTCTTCAGCCGCGCCTCGGCCTCGTCCGGCTCCGGCTCGGCCGCGTCGGCGCCGGGGAAGTCGACGTCCACCCCGACCTCGCGGCCCTTGGCCTCGGGCTCGGAGAAGACGAATTTGGGCATGCGCAGCTTGGGGAAGGACACCTTGACCTGGCCGCCCTCGGCGCCCAGCTTGGGGCAGGAGGCGTGGAAGGTTCCGGAAGCGGCGCTGACCGACGGCGGCGTCGCCTCGGCGCCGCCTTTGACCTTCGGCCCTTTCACGTTGACGTTCAACCCCGAGCTGGACACTTCCAGGGCCGGAGCCTCCAGGTGGACGCCCACCCCTCCATGGGGGGCTTCCACGCTGACCTTTGACCCTTTGATGTCGCCGGCCGCGTCCACGTTTGGTCCTTTCAGCCTCAGGTCGGCGTCCGGCGCGGAGAATTTCGGCCCTTTCAGCTCCACCTCGGGGCCTTCTAGCCCCAAAGCCGAGCCCTTCAGCCCCGCCTTGGCCTGGGGGCCCTCCAGGGCGACCCCCGCGTCCCCCCCGTCCGCGCCGGGGCTGGAGATGCTGAACTGGGGCAGCTTCAGCGACGGGAGCTTGATGGTGCCCCCCAAAATTTCCAAGCCGGACTCGTCTGCCGACACCTGGGGGGGTTTGACGCCGACGTCTCCTTTCAACTTTGGTCCTTTCGCGTTGACATCCAAATCCAGGCCGGAGACGTCCAGCGAGGGCCCCTTGAGGTCCAGGGTGGCCCCCGGGGACTGGACGGAGCAGGGGACGCCCCCCTGGACCTCCAGCGTCGGGGCCTTCACCGTGGGCAGCTTCACCTTGCCCCCGAGGCCGCCGAGGTCCAGGCCGGGCGCGTCCACAGAGCCCGAAATGTCCAAATCTCCCTTTAATTTTGGTCCTTTCAGGTTCCCCTCCAGCTCGGGTCTGGAGATTTGGGGCCCTTTGAGCTTCACGTCCACCTCCGAGCTCACGTCCGGCATTTCCAGCCCCAAACCCGTTTTCCCCCCCTTGGGCCATCCCAGGTTCACCTCGGGACCTTCCAGTTGTGCTCCGGCCATGCCAACTTCACCTTTCACTTTTGGTCCTTTCACGCCGACGTCCGGCGCCGCGGCCGAGGGGACGGTGACGTCGATCCCGGGGGCGCCCTTCAGCTCCCCCCCGATTTTCACCTCCCCCGCGCCCACCTGGACCCCGGGGAGTTTGAATTTGGGGCTTTTCAGGTTCACCTCAGGACCTTCAAGATCAATAAATCCATTGACCCAGCAGAGCCTGAAGCCCCACAGGGAAAAAAAAAAATTAAAAATTAGGGAAAAAAAAAAAAAAAAAAAAAAAAAAAAAAAAAAAAAATCCCCAAACAAAAAA